GGTTTATTCACAAATCATTTGCGCAACACAAGTTGGCAACATTACGCAAATCATCTTCGAGCTTGAACTTAGCGTCAATGACGTCGGCTAACGGAAAAGATAGCAAAACTCTAGAGTCATCGACGTATGACTCGAGCTGGCAGAATTGAGTAGCGTTTGGCAGATCATTTAAATAAATACAGAGGAGGAGCGGCGAAAGAATAGCTCCCTGGGGGACTCCGTGTGTGATTAAATCCGATCTGAAATGTAGCTACGGAACCACTGAACTACGGAGGGTGAGGCACCTACAGCGGAGAGCTTCTGGAGTAACTTATGATGGCAAATACTGTCGAAAGCTGTTGAGAGGTCGAGTAAGACTAATGCGCTGATTTCCTTTTTGTCTATCGCCTCTAAAATTAGATCGGCAGTATAAATATTCAACGTCTCAGTTGAATAGAATGACGTATTGCCGAAAGAAGAAAGCGTCCATTCGTTTCAGAACGTACTTAAAGAGTGCTTCGAAAAGAAGGCATGGCTTTTCGAAGAACAGTTCTCCTTCCACTAAGAAAATCACATTTTCACAGTTTTATATTGAATGGTTTTGTTTTCTTCTCTTCGTTTTCTTTAAGGCAGATGCACTTTTTCTATTTTCATTAATTCACTGAAAACTTAAAAAGTCAGCTCCAGCAGTATTACTCCGTAAAGACAAAAACCCATCAGGGAGGGGGGTGGTGTTTTTTAAGTAAATGATGTACGTCCACTGTATTATGAATCGTAAATGAAAGTGACCTTTATAAACTTGATCATTTGATTAGTTCGTGAGACAATGCCTCTTGCATGTTCAAGCACTGTTAACTTTTCTTTTATCTGCACTACTTTGTGAGACGGTGAGGTTTTGACTTACCTTTTTTGGTTGAAGGTCACTGACACCTATTCCTTCTGTGGTAGACATTTTGGAAACGCTTAAACTTTAAACTTTCGACGTAGACATTTTGGAAGGCTTTTCAAAACCCAAGAATTTGTTGACGCTCTAGAATGTTGGGTTACAGTTTTGGAACAAGGCAACCTATCACGCAGGGATGCTCTAAGGAAAAAAGTGACCATTCTCCTTTAGCTAATGAGCAATCAGTATCATTTCACATGTAAAAGACAAATAGGCAAATAAGCAGTTTTTCATCATCTCAGCATGGTCCCTAAAAGTCTTTCCAGTGCCGTGTGAGCTGGCATTTGGGATGGGGAGGGAGTGAAT